AGGACCTCATTACACTTATCCACAATGGCCTTCTTATCTGATGCACTCATTTTGTCCTTCATGTCGTCATTCTCCACTGTGCTCTTCAGATTAAAGACATAAGACTCCAGAGTGTTCTTAGCAGCAACCCTCTCCCTCTGGACATCATCGTCCGTCTTGTACCTTTCAGCCTCCTGCACCATCTTCTCTATTTCCTCTTTGCTCAGTCTGCCCTTGTCGTTGGTGATTGTGATTTTGTTCTGCTTTCCTGAGCTTTTGTCCACAGCAGACACGTTCAGGATTCCGTTGGCATCAATGTCAAAGGTTACTTCGATTTGTGGCACGCCACGTGGAGCTGGAGGAATGCCACTCAGTTCAAACTTGCCCAGGAGGTTGTTGTCCTTTGTCATTGCTCTCTCACCCTCGTAGACTTGGATGAGGACACCTGTCTGGTTGTCAGAGTAGGTGCTGAAGATCTGGGTCTGCTTGGTGGGAATGGTGGTGTTGCGTTTGATGAGCACGGTCATCACTCCTCCGGCTGTTTCTAGACCAAGAGAGAGTGGTGCCACATCCAGCAGGAGAAGATCCTGGACCTTCTCAGACTTGTCACCAGTCAGGATGGCAGCTTGTACCGCAGCTCCATAGGCGACAGCTTCGTCGGGGTTGATGCTCTTGTTTAACTCCTTCCCGTTGAAGAAGTCTTGAAGGAGTTTCTGCACTTTAGGAATACGTGTAGAGCCTCCGACTAGAACAATGTCATGAATCTGAGACTTGTCCATCTTGGCATCTCTCAGGGCCTTTTCAACAGGGTCAAGGGTTCCCCTGAAGAGGTCTGAACAGAGTTCCTCAAAGCGGGCCCTGGTGATGGAAGTGTAGAAGTCAATGCCCTCATACAGAGAGTCAATCTCAATGCTGGCCTGGGTGCTGGAGGACAGGGTGCGCTTGGCTCTCTCACAAGCTGTTCTGAGCCTCCTCAGAGCTCTCTTATTCTGGCTGATGTCCTTCTTGTGCTTGCGCTTGAGTTCCTCCACAAAGTGGTTCACCATACGGTTATCAAAGTCTTCTCCACCCAGATGAGTGTCACCCGCTGTGGCCTTCACCTCAAAGACTCCGTCATCAATAGTGAGGATGGAGACATCAAACGTGCCACCTCCCAGGTCAAAGATCAGTATGTTGCGTTCACCTCGGCTTCCTTTATCCAAGCCGTAAGCAATGGCAGCAGCTGTGGGCTCATTAATGATTCTCAGCACATTTAAACCAGCTATGACCCCGGCATCTTTAGTGGCTTGGCGCTGTGAGTCATTGAAATAGGCGGGCACGGTGATCACAGCGTTTCTCACGGGATGACCCAGAAACGCTTCAGCTGTTTCCTTCATCTTCAGCAAGACCATGGAGGAAATTTCCTCAGGTGCAAAGGTCTTTTCTTCTCCTTTGTATGCCACCTTCACTTTGGGCTTCCCGCTGTCACTGACCACCTGGAATGGCCAGTGCTTCATGTCAGATTGTACCACGCGGTCATCGAACTTTCTGCCAATAAGCCTCTTGGCATCAAAGACCGTGTTCTGTGGGTTCAGGGCCACCTGGTTCTTGGCCGCATCTCCGATCAGTCTCTCTG